TAGATGGAGAAGCTTTAGAAAAAAATATTGCACAATACCAAATTTAAGAGAGACTGAGTTTCAGAAAGACTTGGCAGAAGTCAGAAGCTTAACTTGTGAGTAAATGTAAAAGAAGAAAAACTGTTGAGAAATTTTTAAGAAATTTTGTTGGGGAAAGTGGTCAAATATAAACATTCTGAAGGTAGTGATCGGGGCTCTATTTGTTCACTATTATTTCCCCAGAGCCTGGCAAATTGCAGGTCTTCAAATATTTTATATAAATAAATGCACACCATATATACACAGGTTCTTTATCAATCATCCACTGTAGACTGTAAACCTAAAGTAATATTGCAAAGATAAACAGCAGTTACATAACCTTTGAGCCTGTCAAAGTCTTCAATTAGCCATATTGCACAGCCTAAACTACAATATATTCAGGGTACTCAAATCAATTTAATTCTTTCCATTATGCCCCTAACCTGGATCAAGTCATTATCATATTGTCTTAGAAAATTTTTATAACCTCCTACAAGATTTTTGCATTCATTCATTTCATTCCTTGTCTCAATTTATTTTTCTCACTGCAGTCACATGATTTAAAAAAGAAATTCAGAGGCACTCAATGTCTTAACTGCCCCATGTAGTAAGAATTTTTCATTTCCAGGAACTAATCCCAGGTCACCTTTTGCAATTCTGTTGTCATGTTTCTTCAGCTTTCCTTCATTTGGATCAATTGTAGTCATTCTTTGTTCTCTCAACCTTAACATTTTGAAGAGATGGGGTCAGTTATTTTGTAGAATGTACTTTTATTTGAATTTGCCTGTTACTTCATTAGATTCAGGTTATGCATAGATGGCAGAAATACCGTAGAAGTGACACTATGTTCTTTCTTTCTTTTTTTTTTATTTTTTTTAATTGTTGTTCAAATTCAGTTGTCTCCATGTGCTCTTTCTTATTGATCTTCTCTGGTATGAGGCTATTGTGACTTGTTCCCACATGGGTGATGTCAACTTTAATCACCAAAACCTGGACATGTCCTCCAACTTTCTCTACTTTAGAATCACTATTTTCCCCCTTTGTAATAAACAACTAACCTATTAAGTCACATTTAAGTTTTCTTTGTAGTTCTTTTGGCCTTTTTATTTTCAGCTGAGGGGAGTGAAACTACTGTAACTAAAAGTTACTTGGATTTTCCCTTTTTCACTTTTCTTTAATATTATTGTTACTCATTTGTTATGTAATGCAGTTTATTTGTTTCTGTTTCTAACTTGGAAGTTTTAAAGAATCCTTGTTTATTTAACTAATGGCATTCTAATCATAATGTGTCTGGGTTTAGGTTTTTTTAGATTCATCTTGTTTAGGATTCCCTGAGCTTCTTGGATCTTAATGTCTGCTTCCTTCATGAGGTTGGGAAATTTTTCAGCCATTATTTCTTTAAATTGGTTTTCTGTCCCTTTCTCTCTCTCTTCTCCTTCTGGGACCTCTGTAATTCAATGTTGGTATGTACTATGTTGTCCCAGAGGTTGCTTAAGCTGTTCTCAATTTTTAAATACATTTTTCTTTTTTGCTGCTCTTAGTGTGTGTTTTCTGCTATGCCTTCCAAATCACTGATTGGGTCCTCTGCTTCATCTAATCTGCTGTTGATTCCCACTAATATATTCTTCATTTCAGTTATTGTATTCATTTCTGACCTTTAAGATACTTTCTATCTCTTGTTTATGTTTTCTATCTCTTTGTTGAAGTTCATACTGAGATCATTGAGCATCGTTATAACCAGCATTTTAACTCTTTATTTGATGGATTGCTTGTCTCTGTTTCATTTTGTTCTTTTTCTGGGGTTTTATTTTGGTCTTTCATTTGGAACATATTAATCTGTCTTCTTATTTGGCTGTCTCTATGTATTTGTTTCTATGAAATAGGTGAAACAACAATCTCTTCTGGTCTTGAAGGAATGACCTTGTGTAAGAGCTGCCTTCTTTAAGACTCTGTGTGCTAGGTGCCTTTGGCAGGCACATGGAGGCTACCTGCAGTAAGACCACCTTCGAAGGCCAGTTGGAGTTGTAGTTTAAGTGGGATCAGCCTCAAGTAGTTCCAGGAGCAAGCCCCACTGAGACCTGAAGCTGAAGTTGGAGTGGGTCGGAGCTGTAGATTCCTGGGGGTAAGCCCCTGGGGCTACAGCTGAAGCAGGAGTACTCCACAGAAAGCTCTGGGGACAAGCTATACCTCAGCAGGAGATGTGCTAGGGTGGGTGTAAGTTGGACAACTGGAAGCTAGAGCTGGAAAAGGCTGCATGGAGACCTGTTCTTCTCTCTCTCTCTCTCTTTCTCTCTCTCTCATACAAAGTTGTTCCTTCAGCCCTCAGTTTTTCTTCATGGAGAATTGTTCTGTCTGTAAGTGTAAATTCATAATGTTCCTAGGAAGAGGTGTGTTCAGGGTCTTCCTGTGCTTCCATCTTGGACTGGAAGCCTACAATGATCCTTTTAAAACACAAACCTGATTATGTCACTCCTGTGCATAAAACTTATGTTTTTTTCCTCATTTTTTAGGATAAAATTAAGAATCCTTAGCACGCACTATACACCCCTGCATGCTACTATCCTAGCCTTGCTCAGCAACTCATTTCAACCTCTGTACTTCAGGTCATGAAATGGATTTCCTTCAGTTCTTTGAATTCATGGCACCCCTTCCTATCTTAAGACCCACACATGTTCACACATCCATTCTCTCTCCCAGTAACATCACCACCCCATTTCATGACCTCTGTTTCTTTCTTCAGCTAGTTAACTTACAGTCAGCACTGGAATAAATGCCATTTTTAAGGAAGCTTTCCTTAATTCTCCTAGACCAGGTCAAAATCTCATGTATTGTGCCCTTATAGAAATCTGTATTATTACTTGGCAACACTTACTATCCAGTGTAATTATGCATTTGAGCATCACTTGGTTATGTCACTTCCATCAGCATATAAACTCCCAGAGACATAGTCTTCTCTTTTGCTCACTTCTCCTCAGAATATAGCACAATCTTACACATTTTGCCCCTCCATAATTAAGATTTTGTCATATGAATATAAATAACTTACATATCTTCTTTATCTTGACTAGAATTTTAGGTATGGCTTTTGAAGATTTAGTTTTATGTTGGTTACTATTGCTTGGTTAACATTTCCATTGAGAGATAGCTTGTATGTGCTAATTCCTTAGTTTATATTTCCAAACCTAACATAGAAACAGCCCTGATACTTGTCAAGAAATATATTATAATTAAATTTCATAATTCATGGTACTTTGAATAAAAAGAAAATATAGGGAGAAGGTCCAGATTGGGCAGTTTATCTTCAGGATACATCTAACATACTGCCAGTAGTCTTAAAGTTTACATTTCCCCACAAATTCTCTTTAGCTCAGGAGAGATCTGTCCCTACTCCTATCATCATTGTCATTTTTCTCCATTATCTTACAAAAAGACCATAGATCCTATCTTTATGATTTTTATTCTTATTTATAACTACTATCACATAACCAGGAGTTCTAAAATATATGACACATAAATTCAAATATCTTATTTTTCATCATTCCTTTAGAAGCTTTCATTAAACACATATAAGACACTGAGAGGTATCAGTGTTAAAAAGTAAATAAAGGATAGTTTTTATACATGGACTGAGTGCCTTTGTTTATTTAAACCTGAGCTGCACCATTTAATCAATATGTGATATTAAGGATGTTATTTAATCTATCTGAGTCCAAATTTCTCATTTATAAAATCAGACTAACACTCTGGTGATTATGGTAATGATACATGTGTGTATGGGTGTGTACATTGTACATACATGTCACAAAGTAAATATAAACAATTATGCTTACTATGATAATCTATAGTTAAGTAATGTTTATTTATTAAAGGCTTAATGTGTGGCACTATTTTAAGTGTCTTTTATGTGCTTTCACTCATTTAATCCTGAAAATTCTATAGGGAAGGGAATCTTATGATCCCTATTTTATTGATTATGAAAACAAAGCCCAAAAAATGTCTGAATGTACATAGATAGTAAGCGGTAGAGGTAAGTGATGAATCCAGGCACACTGACTCTACAGCCAGTGCACTTAACCTCAAACAATAATAATTTAATTGATAAGAGGCTATTAAGAGTTAACTACAATATATCATAACATTTCTTTATCATGATGGTAGGGAGAGGTTTTAGTTAGTTTTACTTGAGGAAATAAACTTTCTGATAAGGTGATGGAGCTTAAACAGATATTGTACCTTGAAGAATAACTAAGTTCTTTGTAGGTAAGAAGGTGTCTAGACAAAGATAAGCAGTCTAAGAAAAACTGTGAAGATATAAAGAGACTTACTATTTTACTCAATATTGGAGTCTTTGCAAACAGAACAGAGAGTGCAAGGGATTTATGGAACAAGAAAACAGCAGAAAGGCAATTCATAAACTGTAATACAGTAATATGTGGACTCAATTATTGCAATATTGAACTGTTCCACATTACTGTTTTAACAACTTTTTATGTGTCAATTTTTGTGAAAATAACACACAAGTATTTGTTGTATTCAGAGGGCATGAACCTTGTTACATTGACTTTAGTATATAATATTGAGTAACCACTAAGTTTTCAATTGTAGATACTTCCTTTGGAATATTTTGAGGCTCTTATGAGTTTCTTCACTTTTGAATCATTCCCTATTGGAAAATATACTACTACCTCCAGTTATACCACAGGAGCTCAGTACCAATAAGGAGGAGAAGGGGATCCCTTTCAAATTCATGAAGTTCGAAGTAAGTTCCCTACAACTCAGGTGCACACAAAATACAATATGCCTACTAGTTCCATTAGAGTTGGGAAATTTCTATTATGTGTGGTCACACTTCCTTACTGAAATCTGATAAAACATTTGTTTTCAGCAGGAGAAAAGATCATGTCTGTTATGAGAAAGAAAGAAATTATTTGCACTCTTTTCTTCCCATTCTGATGCTATCTCTGCAAACAATTTCAACATAATCAGGAAAACTTTACCTTCAGACAACTAAGTACGTAGTCTCTAATTTTCTTTGTCCTGACACCATATACAATGGGGTTAAGAAAAGGTGGGATTAGAAGGTATATATTAGCAATGAAAATATGAATTTGGGGGGCCACATTGTGGCCAAAGCGATGAGTAAGGAAGGTAAAGACAGCTGTGGAGTAGAAAACAAGGATTACACAGACATGAGAGCCACATGTGCCTAAAGCTTTAAGACTTGCTTCCCGTGATGGAAGGCGAAAAACTGCATGGAGAATTAGAACATAAGAGACAGCAATGAAAAAGCCATCACAGGAACCAATGACAGAGGCCACACTGAGGCTGTAACGCTTGGTACCTCCTGTGTCCACACAGGCAAGCTTCACCACAGCCATGAACTCACAGTAGGTGTGGGCAATTATTCGGGTCCTGCAGTAGGGCAGCTGTTTGAGCAGGATGGGATGTGGAGAAAAGAAGACTACTCCCCGGAGTACAACAGAAGCTCCCATTTTGGCAATGTGAGCATGAGTGAGAATGGTGGTATGGTGCAGTGGATGACAAATGGCCACGTAACGGTCAATGGCCATGGCCAAAAAGAAGCCTGATTCCATGGCAGTGAAGCTGTGGATGAAGAACATTTGGGCCAAGCAGGAATCAAAAGTGATGTCATGGGCTCCAAGCCAAAAGAGACAAAGCATGCGAGGCAGCGTAGATGTGGAGAGGACCAGGTCGGTGACTGACAGCATGCACAGAAAGAGGAACATGGGCTCATGGAGGCTTCGCTCTGCCCTCACCACGGCCAGGATGGTCACATTCCCCACCACGGCCACTATGTACAAAGAGCAGAAGGGAATCCCAATCCAGACATGCAGGTGCTCTAGTCCCGGGATGCCCAACAGCAAGAAGGTGTTAGGAGATGTTTGAGATTTATTGGCTGGATCCATTGTGCTGCTGCTCTCTGTCTTTTGTAAATGGAATCCTCCTTTTTTGGGCAAAAGTTTTCTGTCAAGATCATCACAACAAATCTGGTAACAAATGGAAAACACATCTGGAAGATCCCAAAAATGTCATGTTAGGAAACATAAAGGGTTGTGATTTATAGTAAACAAAACTTAGAAACACTAGGTAAAAACTATGTAACCAGACACAAAGTACTTACTATAAATCAAGTCATGAATCACAAATTTGTTAACAAAACAAAATAAAACAAAGAATCCTAACACCTTTAACATATATGTATAATAAAACTCAATATCACATTTTAACTCCACAATCTGCTTTAACCATAAGGCTAAATTAGCTTTTGATAGAAATTTCTGATATCAATGGAATGGATCTTAAAATTCATTTAGCCCAACTTCTTTCTTTTAATTAATTAATGTTTTAGACAGAGGGAAACAGAGGGAGAGAGGGAGAGAAGTGTTGATGTTCTAGAGAAACAGATCAGTTTCCTTTTGCACACCCTCATCTGGAGACCTGTCCCATGACCCAGGCATGTGCCTTGACTGGGAATTGAACCAGTGACTTCTTGCTTTGTGGGACAACACCCAACCCACTGAAACATGCCGGTTAAGGCCCAAATTCTCTCTTAATGTCATCCTTAAATACAATTTTCTAACTGATGCCTGAGTACTCTTAAGTGTGGTCACTCATTTCATGGACTGTCCATTATATGTCCTAGCACTATCACAGAATAAAACCCCTGGAGCTATGAGATAGTATTACCCTTTCTTATGGGAATACTCTTTACAACCTCACCTGTCTTCTGGATAGAAGCCTTTAAAAAATTTGAGGTTTTTCTCATGTCATCACCACATCTCTTTTTATATGAAACTTTTCCAATTTATATACTTACTGGTTTGAAGTTTAGTGTTTAAAAAATCCTAATTACCTACCTCCTCTCTATATTCTCAAATGTACCTACATGTTAACTTTTATTTCTTGTATCTGAACATACTAGTCAGTATAGAGATCCCACCATGTACTTGATATTAGTTATAATTTATACACTATTAGTGTGATTTCAGCTCATAACATTTTTTATATGAAGTAAGAAAGAAAAGTAATACTTAGTGATCTTAACATGGAAAGGACATTGTTCAGAATCTTTATAGATGTTACTTTGTAGCTGAAAAAATTCAAGGCAAATGCCATCTTTTCAATTTTTTAAAAGATTTTATTTATTTATTTTTAGAGAAAGGAAGGGGGGAAGAAAGAGAGGGAGGGAAACATCAATGTGTGGTTGCCTCTTGCTCACCCCCTATTAGGGACCTGGCCTGCAACTTAGGTCTGTGCCCTAGACTGGGAATCAAACCAGCCACACTTTGGTTTGGAGGCTGACAATCCACTGAGCCATGCAGCCAGGGCTGTCTTTTTAATTTTACCAATTAAGAAATAAAAGCCCAGAGTGCTACAAATAATACAACGTCATCTCAAAGAGTGACTGAGATACAAGAATTTTAACATAACTCTGCATGACTACAAATTTCACACTATTACCTTTGTGCCAAAAATCAGTATTTTCTATCATAGATGTTAAATTCATAGTCACATTTAACCTACTAATAGTTTTCAAAATTTTTAAAGTCATATTTTCAAGATGATTTTAAACAAATGCTTAAAATTAGCCTTTTTATTTTTATTTTTAAATATTTTAATTTATTGAGTTAGAGAGAGATAGAAACATTGATTTGTTGTTCCACTTGTTCATGCATTGGTTGATACTTGTATGTGCCCTGACTGGGAATCTAACCCCCAACCTTGGCATATCAGGATGATGCTCTAACCAACTGATCTACCTGGCCAGGGCTAGCCTTTTCATTTACACTTGATAATATGTATAATATTTTTAGATAATATTTCAAAATAATTATTACCATGTGTTTTTTGCATTATTGAGAATTTATCACTGTTAATATCTTGACTATATTCAGTATTTTCTGCTGATTCTAATGATATTTACTCCATATCTACATTTATGCAATTTAAATGTGACTTTGAAACAAGTATAGAATTATTTTTATCATTCCACAAAACTTGTTTTAATCCCTCTAACACATTTGTATACTGTTTATTAATTAGAAATGGATTTGTTGAACTTAATAATAATGAGATTACAAATACTAAACCCAGTTTACTCCCTTGTAATAATTTGTAAGGTCTGATCAAGTGTCTCTTTAAACTAGAATATTACTTACTTATCCACAATTTGGTGTAGAATGTAAAGTACTTTAAACTGACTACACATTTGATTAGAATTACTCCCAGTGTTATTTGGAAATATTTTCAGTCTGACCAGGGCTTTATAAAATTATTGTTTACACAATAATTCAAATTACTATGAAATTTGACTGAGAAGAAATAAAGTTCAATAAATCTTGAAAATTACCACCTATCATAAGTAATGCTATCACTTCTCTTTCTTCCCCTTCCATCTGATTATATATATTCCCATCATAAGCTCTTATGTCCTTGTATGAAATGCATTTATTTCCAAATAGATAAAAAATAGATAAATAAATACACTTCCATAATAAGGTTTAAGTTGTCCCATAGATACTGATTATATCTTTTTCCCCAGTTTTCTTAACTGTGAAGTGGGGAAAACAAAAGGTTGTTGGAAGATTAATTTAGTTAACACATGTTAACAAATTAGAACACTATCTTTCAAAGAACAATTTAAGAAATTAAGCATTGGGATTTGGTCATTATTTCATAAGTAATATGACTACAGTAAACCATGAAGCATGACAGGATCAGATTAGCGTTTTAAATAACAAAATAAACCATTCTGTTCAGCCTTTTCACCAAGTACTTTTTCTAAACCTTCCATGTGGTAATGCGGAACTTCTATTTCCCAAACTCAGCGTGCTTCTTTGTAAAATTGTGCCTTTTGCACATACTTTTCTGATTGTGAGTTTCCTCTTCTCCCACCCTTTAATTATTTGCCTTTTCAAACTCCAGTGTTTTTTTTGTAGGTCAAAAATAGCTCCTCTATGACTCTTTGCTAAGTTAATTCAGACAAAAATTTGCAGGTTATTTTTCTGTGCATATTTACATGTTTTCTTATATTTATTTGTGATAGACCTTATCAAATTGTGAGTTATTAGATTCATAAATACATTATTATGACTCCTGTCTTTCTTATAAAGTTAAATTCTTCTCATTCTAGAAACTGTAGCATAGCTAGGTATTACTATAACCTAGCCCACAGACTGACATTGGAAGATGCTTAACAGGAGTACTGTCCCTGCTATCTCTGTCCATAGTGAAATAAAAGAGTTTTTTCTCCTTGGTAGATGTGTTACTGCTTTGTTCTGCTATGATTGTAAGACAGGACTCTAAGCAAAGAGAAACAGAGCAGCTAATCAAAAATAGGTTTCAAGTCAATTACTGCTTTATCTGAGGGCTTCAAGATCACGGTTACCTAGATCACCACTTCCAGAGAAACATAAATCTATTTACATTTCTCTGTTCGCTCCCCAAAGCTTTTAAAATTAAGATCTTCATTCAGAGAAGACCTAGATATCTGTATTTACATGTGCCTAAAGAGGTAAACTATCCCATTTTTGTACATCTGACATTTTCTTATATGTTGCCATATATACATTATGGAAAAATACAAGGTCAGGCACAAATAATACCCCTTTTTAAATACAGAATCTTTCTTACAAAATCATAAGCATGTAATTCTGTAACATAACAATATCACACTCAAGCACACTATATGACATTTTAGGTGAAATGTTCAAATTAAAACTATAAGTGATTACACCCTTGTTATTACCCTACCAACCACAGTCAAGCAGGCTTTACTTCTGCAGGGCCCTGTATATCCAGAGATCCAAGCACACAAGGACTTTTAATGCTTCTAATGTTATGTAAAAGCTCCTACAGGTACACTACATCAATGCTCAAATAAGTGCATTCACATATGAACAAATACATTTAAATAAGATTATATTTTAAAGGATAAGTAAAACACTCAGTTTTACTTATTACAACACACCCCGATTATTTTCAGAATTATTAGTCTTTCTTTAGGACAGAAATCCAGGTCTGGGTATGGAAGTGGTAGAGAGAGATGTCAACAATCTGTTGAAAAATTCATTCAGGAGAACTTTTTATGTGATATACAATTTTAGTCTTGAAATCTTTCTACACTTTCTACTCTCTCTTATATGTATAAATTAACTAGTTTGAAGATAGACTGCATCAAATAGTTAACAGTAGCGAGTGTGACTATGAGAATCTAATGGTCAGGAGATTCTGAAAATGCAAACAGAGAGTAATGGTTGGCCGTGGCTTGGCCTTCTCCAATTGACTGCTGTAATAAAGAGCCATTTTTCTACCTTGTTCCTAAATTTTCTTCCTCCCGCCAAGTGTTGCTCAATCAGGTTTAATGCTGAGTGGAAAGAAATCTGTTCTTTGCTCACAGCTTTCTCTGACTCCACAGCCTTTCTTGGTCAAACAGCATTAATATTATTTTAATTCTAATTTACAGTATCTGTGGCGTTATGCTCCTTATATTTTACCTAACCAACAGGTAGCTGTATTCATATCAGCTATGGGAGAAAGGGTCCATTTTACCTTCTTACTACATTGTCTGTTTACAATACTTATTCTTAACATTACTAAGGGTTTTCAAAGAGGTGCACATAAACTTTTTGAATATCTTATAATTCTATAAATGCAGATGTTTGAATGTAACCCTTTCCTCTTGTTTACTGTCTTGCATTTGTATCAACTCACCCAAATTAAAAGCAGAGAGTCATTTGGTGAGCCTGTTTCTATAAAGAGTAGATGCTAAGAAGTATACTTGGTGAACAAGAGCTGGGTTATACCAACTGCTAATCACACTGGGTTAAAGGATGCAGGGATCAGGGGAACCAGTGGTCCTCCGGGATATGGGATCTTTTCCCAAACTACAAGACTTAAATCATAT